TTCTGATCCTTTTCCTTATCTGCAAACTGGGGATAACATGTCCTGCCTCAGGGGGGTTGTGAGGTCTAAATGAGATGGTACCTGCAGAAGTGAGTACACACCGCCTGGCGCACAGCAGCATTCAATGTGTGGTGTTGGACTCTGAGTGACAGGGAAGGAGTCTTGAATGGGAAAGTGGCCCACATGGTTTGGCTGGAGGGATCCAGGGGAGAAAAAGCTGAAGGGAGGGGAACCCTTGGCTACTGCAAAGAGCACCGATTCCATGCTCTGCGACCTTCTGACCTTGCTCAAGTGATGCTACTGCTGTAGTCATGAGTCCCTTTCTGTAAGACAAAGAACTGACTTAAACCATTTCTTAAGTTTTTTGTTAGTTCTGAGAGTTTTAGTTTTTTTTTCTCCCCGTAAATCATCTACAAAGCAAATGAAACACATATAGATAATTAAGAACACAGTGGGTGGTGGTGGTCGGGGGGTGGTGGGGTGGTGGGGATCGCAGTACTGTGGATGCATAAGCTGGGAAATGGCAACGCCATTTGGGTTAGCTTTGATGAGTAAGAAGACACCTCTGTCCCCTGTGGACCACTCCCAAGAAAGCATATCACTGCCAATCCTTCATCTCCCGTCTAAGATCACTGACCGCCCCCTGGGGGCCTTCTCCTCTGGGTTATCTCTGTTATCACTGTTCACTGTTTTCCCGAGGTGTGCTGAGGCTGGCATGATATGATATGAATTTGGATTTCCACATTTTTTTCCCCCTTTATTGATTTTAGAGAGAGAGGAAGTGAGAGGGAGGGAGAAATAGGAACATGGATGAGAGAGAAGAGAGAACATCAACTGGCTGCCTCCTGCATGCCCCCCACTGGGGATCAGGCCCACAACCTGGGCATGTGCCCTGACCGGGAATCGAACCAGAGACCTCCTGGTGCATGGGTCGACGCTCAACTGGCTGGTCTGGATTTCCACTTTTTAAAATTTTTTATTGCTGATATTCTTTTATTTTTCCTCTAATTTTTTATTAATTTATTTTTGGTACAGATGTTTCTCCTTCCCCTCCTCCTAGACCTGGATTTCCACTTTTGATAACACTTAGGTTATTGCGTAAGTGCTTTGTGGGTCTGTGGTCCCCTGATTTCCCGAGTCTGTGCTCTTTGGTGTTACGGCAGCATGATGCAGAGCAAACACCTGTCTGTGGGTTAACTGCTGCCCAGTCACTATCTCACCTTCCTCAGCTGTGTAATGGGGACACAGGGCCTGCCACGTCTACCTGAGAGAGCAGTGTACGACCAAGGGTTTGGTGAAGGAATCAAGGGAGAGGGAATGTGGAGTGTGTGACAGTTCTAAGTGGCATTCAAGAATAATAGCTGCCATTCCTATGTGTGCTTGGTGTCAGGCACTGCGCCTAGCACTTTCTAAGCTGCATCTCTTTTATTTTATTTTATTTCATTTTATTTATTTTTTTAAAATCCTCACCCAAGGATATTTTTACATCCATCTTCAGACAGAGTGGGGTGGGGGAGAGAGAAAGAGAGAGAGAGAGAGAGAGAGAGAGAGAGAGAGAGAGAGAGAGAAACATTGATGTGAGAGAGTCACATCAGTTGGTTGCCTCCCGCACGACCCCAACTGGGGATGGGGACGAACTGCAACCGAGGCAGGAATGGAACCTGGGACTCCTTGGTCCACAGGCTGACGCTCTAACTGCTGAGCCATACTGGCCAGGGCTATGCTGTATCTCTTAATCCTCACAACAGGTCACATGGTGAATATTGTTGCTATCCCAGTTTACAGATGAGGAAGCTGACTTAGGGTAGCGTCTTGCCCGGGTCACAGAGCTGAGCCTCAGCTTGTGTCTGGGTGTGGAAACCTGTCTCTGCAGGAAGGCACATGCAGCCAGAGTGGGGTCTGCTCGGGTAGACAGAGACTTGGGGGAGGGGGACTAAGAGAAGTCTTGGTCAAGATCTCACAGCTAATCAGTGACCGCTCTGAGGCTTCAGTGTCCAGGGTCTCGATCACCATCATCAAAACATTTAGAGCGTTTCCAAAGTTTCATTGCTGTGCTAGACACTGTCCTGCACATACGACCCATCTTCACTCGATGACATCAGTGTGTTCATCACTACTGGGACTTTACAGGTGAGGGAGCTGAGGTTTAAAAGACACGAGGCAAATCAGCTCCTTACATGTGACTCCAGAGCCTGGGCTTTCCATCAGCACACGAAGTAAGGGCGAGCTGCTATCTTTCGGGGGTCTGTACCAAGGAGCCAGGTCTGCGTGGTCATTTCAGGGAAACAGCGGGAGTGGCGGTGGAGTGCAGATATGTGCACCTGTCCTCAGGTACCCGAGTTCTTTACCTGGTGGTCCCTGATGGGGCTCGATAACTATTCATGGTTTGGAAGAAGACCGGAGGTGTCAACTCTCATTGCACGAAGACTATGAGGAATGCAAATGTCAGTGCACCTCTGATTGGGGAGGGAGAAGAAAAGCAAAGGGCTCATTAGGAGCTTTTACGAGAAATTCATTCAAAGTGTGGGAAGGCTCGGCCTTTTGAGCTGGATACCCAGTGAACAGCAGCCATGTTTGCTCCTAGTCCAGAGGGGCTCATTTCCATGTGGAGATAAGGATCCTCGTTTTTAGGAAGTTTGAGCAATTGCTCTTTGGATATGGGTAGGGGCTACTTGGTTATACCAGGGCACAGACAACAGTGTGGTGATTCTCAGAGGGACAGGGGGGTGGGGAGAGGTAGAAGAGGGTAAAAGGGAATAAATGGCGACAGAAGAAGACTTGACTTGGGGTGGTGAACACACAATATAATATACAGATGATGTATTATAGAATTGTACTCCCAACAGCTATGTTATTTTATTATCCAATGTCACCCCGATAACGTCAATAAAAAGTAAAAAAAAAAAAAAAAATTAAAAGACAGATCTCTTTGAAAAAGGATAGATTTTTGGAACATTTGCCCCATGGCCTACAGAGCCCAGTGATTTTTGCCAGTCTGGGGCCGAAAGGTTTGATGTAATCTAATGTTTGGGACCAAATGATGGTTTGAACTGACGGGCAATATATCTGATTTGGTTTATTTATTTTAAGAAGTTATTGAGCACCTGTTATTAAATCCCCGTGCTAGCTGCTGAGGTTACCACAGGAAACGAGACAAGGTTCTGTACTGCAAAACACTTACATAACAGCCAGGAGGGACAAGTACGCAGACGGTGGCGGTACTAAGTGTAAGTGCCATTGTGGGACTTGTCACATGCGTCATGAGATCGGGAAGAAGGGACCCATCTCAGTCTTGGGCCAAGCCCATATATGAACTCATACATACATGTGCACATGTGTTAGAGTGTGAAGACGTCCTGTGGAGGTAATTCCAAGCAGAGACTTAAAGGAGATGAGGAGGTGGCAAGGGAAAGGGGGCTGGAGTGGGTGGTCTGGGCAGAGGCTTCCACAGCATCAACAGAAGCTGCAAACCAGAGCGCGAGAGGGCACCGCTGTGTGGACGAAGCAGCTCCCCTTCTGAAGAGGCAGGGGGAGAGGAGAGCTGAAGCAGGGCAGGCTCGCAAGGGGCCTTCTCGGCTTTGTAAAGGAATCCGAGCTGCAGGCTGAAGGTGAGGGGACCCTGGGAGGGGCGCTAGCAAGGGCGTGGCATGGTTGGTTTGTGTTTTTGAGAGACCACTGTGTGAGAACGAATGGATTGGAGGGGCCCAGGTGAAAACTGAGAACCCTTTGCAGGAGTGTAAACAAACCTCTTTGGGAGCCTGAAGCAGGGGCAGGTGGATGGTTGAGAGGACTTGAAGGAGGTAAAATCTATAGGTCTTGGTGACTGGTTGCTTCTTACTCTGCTCATAAAGAGAGGACTATATTTTATTTATTTATTTTAATCCTCACCCAAGGATATGTTTATTGACTTTAGAAAGAGAAAAAGGAAGGAAGGGAGGGAAGGAGGCAGAGAGAAAGACAGAGAGACATCTATGTGAGATGATGCTCCAACCAACTGAACCACCCGGCCAGGGCGTCAAGAGATGACTTTAACTTGCCTTAATTAGGGAAATCACTTCCTTCAAAACAAGTACAATTGCTTATTTTTGTTTTCAAGGACCGAGAAAAAAAATTTAAAGTATCATTGTATTTATTTATAATTTTTTTTTTTTTTATCCTCACCCGAGGACATTTTTCCATTTTTTGTTCAGGTAGAGTGGGAGGGAGAGAGAGGAACACACAGAGAGAGAGAAACATCGATGTGAAAGGGACACATCGAGTGGCTGCCACCCGCACAACCGACCAGGGCCGGGGACAAACTGCAACCGAGGTACGCGCCCTTAGCAGGAACCGAACCCGGGTCTCTCAGGACCGCAGGCCGACGCTCTAACCGCTGAGCAAAACCGGCCAGGGCATCATTGTATTATTTATAATTATTAGTGCAATATTTACTCCTTGTAGAAATATGAAAAATATAGAAAAGCTTAAAGAAGAAAATAAAAGTATCCATCAGTCTGTGATACAGGGATAAGTGCTATTAACATTTTAGTATTTTTTCTTCTAGTCTTTTTTTTCCCCCTAGTGTAACTGATTTAAAACTTTTTACTATGGGATTTTTAAAATACATACAAAAGTAGAGAGTAGAGTAGAATTAACCCATTATGCCCATTTCAGCTTCTGTAACCAGTCTTCTGCTATTCCAAAGTTGAATTTGAAGCTTATGAGCAGGTTGTTGCATTTTCTTTCAATCTAAAACTTTAGTCCATTGATATGATTTTGTTTTTGTAGTCCTAGGTGTTTGGTTTGTGCAGGCCCTGCTGGCTCTCTGGCCATTTTCAGATGTATGTCCTCACCTAGAACATTGAATAGGACAGTGAAAACGGCCAATTGCTATACCGCTGGAGACCTGCAAACACAGCAGATTCCCCACCTCCTTGGGGAGGACCAGTGCAAAGGGTAAATGTATCAGGGAGAGAACTATGCCCCGTAGGAAACAGCAGCTTGTGTTTCGAGTCACTCACCATAGTTGTCTCAGCAATGGAACCAAAGCTGTTGATGAAAATGTTGCAGCTCACGTTCACCGGGGGACCTGCCAATCAAGAGAGATCCCTGCTTAGCTGCACAGCCAGGAAGAAACCCACAGGACGGGACCCGTTCCTGGAGCACAGACCTCAGGGATGGACACCCCTCGGTGAGGAGGCCCTTGCTTGTTCTCCACCCCACCCCTGAGCATCTGGGACTCCCAGCCACATTGCTATGCCAGATTCCTGGTCCCCAAGTGAGCACCAGGTACAGAGCACCAGAGTCTGGGCTGAGATGTACTTTTATTAACACGGGATGATTCATCGTCCTGCCATATGGTTGAAATCCCTTCCCCAAACCCCATCGGCTGCCTTCTAATTTGTGGCTGAAATGTATTTACGGCTCCAACATTTGGAGGCCATCTTGGGAATCGCAAGGAACAGCAAGTTTCTTGCCTTGAACTTATGAACCAAGAATGATTGCCTGAAAAGGCGTTGATGGGAATGACCAGCCAAGGAGTCCAGAGGGAACCTCTAGGGAAGCCCCGAAGTGTGTTAAATACTTTCCAGGCAGGCTTTTTGAACCCTCCTGCAAAGGACAGGAGAAAAAACCAAACAGAGGGATAGTTGCTCTTTGGGATCATATTGCTAGAGGGACTTCTGTTCAGTTGAAGCTGAATATCTTCATTTTATGCAATTAATTATAGCAGCTAGCATTTATTAAGTGTTGCCGTTGTTGCTCGGCCGAGAGGTTTACTAACATGATCTCATTCCGTCCTCTCAACAGCTCCATGAGAACACATGGTTATCACCTGCATTTTACAGATGGGGACACAGAGGCTCAGAGAGGTTGTTTGTCCTCAGCCACACAGCTGGTGAATGGACAAGCCAGGGTTTGAATTCAGATTTATCTAATTCCAAAGTTGGTGGTGTTAATGGCTGACTGATAAAAAAGGGGTTCAGAGAAAGGAAGGGGCATGCTCAGGGTCCCACAGTGGCAGAATCCAGGATTTTAAGCCCTGAGCTTCCACATCTGTCAAGAGGGCCTAACTAACCTGAGGGGAATGTGGGGCCATGGGTAAGAGTGACATAAGCCATGGGAGCCTGGGTACAAGCGAAGTTCTGGAGGGTGAGGTATTAGAGGAAACCTCAGGAAGGTGATGCCCTTGAACTGACCTCGAAGGTAGATAAGACTTGGATAATAGCTCCTAATCCTGCACATGAGGATTGCACTGTGCAACTGGTGAATTTTTCAGGTCCACTTTCTTGTTAATTCCCATGAGGTCCTGAGGTAGGCAAGGCAGATTTACTAGCCTTGTTTTTCAGGGGGAGTAGAGTCTTAGCGACTCCTTTGGGCTTACAGAGCCAGGATTCGAACCCAAGTTTTCTGATTGCGGAAAGAAGGACGCAGATTTCCTTGTGTCCTGCTACCAAACCCTCTGTGTCCTTCTTGAAAAACCAGCCCAAGCATTTCACCCAAACTCGGTGAAGATTTCCTTTGTTTCAGAAATCTTGTTGTATAGGGCGGGACTCAGTCTTGTGGTGGGAATCCAGGGTTCCCCCCAGGGGGTGCCAGGATCCCGGGGTTTGGACACAGCTCCAGCACTCATTGGCTGTTTCACCTTAGGCACACCCCTTCCTTGTTCTGGGCCTCAGTTTCCCCATCAGTCTAGGAGAGTCGTTCTTGATCTGGGCAGTCACTCTGAGCTCCAGTGGTTTGAAATTCCCTTATGGAAGCTATTCATTCAAATGACAAGGTTATAGGATTTCAGGGCTGGAAGGTTTCTTAAAGGTCACCCAAACTGATGTGCAGATAGGGCTGTCTACACCTGGGGAATCACCTGGGGAACCAGTTAACCTACAGATTCCTCGGCCCAACCCCAGACCCTGTGAACCCAACTCTTTGGAGATTAGCCCAGAACTGTACTATAATGAGCTCCCTGGGTGATTCTCGTGCACAGCAAGGTGTAGGGGCCACTGCTGTCGGCCAGCTGCCCATTCAAAGCTCAGTGCTTGAACACCTCCAGGAGTGGGGAACTCATTCAATCATGAGCAGTCCTTTCCACAGTCAATAGTCCTGTCTGCTAAAAAAAATTTCCTTCTGCTGAGTGGGTATCTGCCTCCTTGTCACTGCCAGCCAAACAAAGGCCCACTAGGTTGCCTTTTTCCTCATTTCGACTCAGACCCAGGTTTTTCTTTCATTTAGCCTCATGCCATTAAGATGCCCCAAAGAGTTACTGCCTGTGCCGTGAATGACAGACACAGACTTCCCACCAGCCCCTGCAGGTGTCTGGTGCTGTGACTCCCTACAAATCAGGTCCTGATTTATGTGTGCAGGAGGGCGCCAGCCAAAAGGACCCCATGGGGAGGTGAGATTCATTGACATAAATCTGAAATTAAATTATCCTCAAGAAAATTACAATCTGGCTGCCTTTGGCAGCAGGATAATGTATATATTTCATTAAATATTAAAGTTTAATTTTGCTTTTCTGTATGTGCTTGTATTGGGCTGTGCCCCTGATCTTGGGAACCACTGTCCTACACGGGGTCTTAGGGATGGTGCCGGCTATCAGAGCTGGAAGAGCCTCGTGCTGCTGGGTCAGTTTACAGATGCAGGCACAGAGGCCCAGCTACATCAAGTGATTGACTCTGGGTCACATGTGTCGGGTAAGTAGTGGGAGTCCTGGAATCCGACCTCGGTGCGCTTTTCCTTCCCTGTTGCAATTGTCCCTGACGCTGTGCTCTGTGGCCCGAGCCCGCTATGCCTGGCCTTCCTGTCTTCGGGATCCTATTCATGTCTGGGTGGAAGTGTGAAGGGACCATGGAGCTCAGGGCAGGAGGTTCCCTCCTCATGCCAGTTACTCAGCCCTCCACACCAGGGAGAGTAGATAAACCTTGCTTCCCAGCTCCCAGGTGGGATTCCGGGAAGCTGCATGTGCTCAAAGCCTGACTCGGAGGGGACTGAAGGGGTTGGAGACAGTGCAGGGTTGGGAGAAGACTAAGATGATCTAGTTCTGTAGATTTTTGGGCCCCGGTGTTTGGAGTAAAGCTTTCAGAGTGGGGAGAGGAAGGGCCCTGATTCAACGGTTTTATAGTCTGTCTGGGTGAAATTTTCTTTCTTAAAGATGTTCACTGCTAAGTAAGGAAGTCAGTAAATAAAAGAATAGGCAAATAAACACATACACAAATGACTAGCATGAGGTAAAGAATCGAGTCAGAATAGCCAGCTGGGTTAAAGTCCCTATAGCTTTGAGAGCATGACTTGGGAGTCATTTAACTGCTCTAAGCCTTAGCATAGTTGTTGGTTCATCTGTTCATTGATTCATTTATGAAAGGCTTAAATAAGGGCCTTTTATGTGCCATATACAATGGTATGCACAAAGAAGAGCTAACACATGAACCGGGGTGCATGCACATCCCACAACTAAGTTCCTCCTTTCTCAGGAGAGCAAGACTGCGGCACTCAGGGTGGAGTTCTGAGAGAGCCCACTAGGGGGCACAGCGGGCTGGAATTCCTGAAAACTGGATGCAACGTGGTTTGGGGACACGCAGGGGATCCGACCTGGTGGTCAGTTCTCGAATGTGTTTGATTTGGCTAACGGTGTGGCTAAAAGATGTGATTTAGCTGCCAACTTGGAAGATTTCACAAAACCCCAGACTCAAGTCTTATCTTGGAAGGCCTGCTGCCCAGGGCCTGTGTGCCTACCAGGCAGCTATCACTGGAGCCGAGAAGTGGCTGCCCTTAGACGAGCCCTGTTTTCTATTCTCATCTTCATCCTGCTTCACTCCTGTGCCATAACTGCCTGGTCCTTCTGGGTGTTGGAGATAGAGACCCTGGTGAAGGGCTTGGGCCCCAGGCTATGACAGCAGCCTGGGTCCTGACTTGTCCTCGAGGGGACCAAGGTTAGTAATGGTGCTGGGAGATGTGGTCTCAGGGTGGGAGATGGGCCCAGACAAACGCCGTGTGTCTCCCAGACCATTTCTGTTTGCAGAGCACTCCGAGAACGGGGTACAGTGAGCAGATATTAGGAAGATGTCACCAGCTGTCACAGCCTTGTTTGTTTTTGGAGCTGAGCCAAAAGGAACAGTGAGGAAGGACATGTGAAATCAAGATTGATTAGGAGGCTGACAGTGGATGCTTGAAATAAGGTTTTTGCAGGGGTGCTGGGAGGAAGATCGGAGTGCACGGGCTCCCTGGGGGGTCCTAAAGACTACCTGCAGAATTCTGCTCAGCAGTTCGAGATGGTCACAGCCTCCTAAGGCATCGAGGGGAACTGGTCCCCTCTCCTTGTAGGTGTGGAGATCTCACAGGACTGTGAGAGCTAAAAGAAATTCCTCAGGTCACTTTGGTGAGGGTTTGGAAACTGGTTACCCGTCACAAGCATGTTCTGTTCGAATATTCATGTTTTAAGAATCAGGAAAGTTTGCACAAATCTTGCTCTCTGGCTCTTCTTGGAATGCTGGCTGACCTGGCAACATTCCTGCGGGGTACCCACGGGCTGGGCCAAGGAGGTGCCGCCCCCTTAGAGGGCCTGCACCTGTTTCTCCAGAGTCTCTACCACTCCCTATCGTCTTCCTCCCGGCTCCCCTCACTCATTTAAGTTACCCACCTGCTTCCTGTAGGCCCTTGAGATTGGGACTCTGATTTAGACGAGAATGTTTCAAAAGTTATTTGTTAATCTCCAGGCACCTTTCAGGAGGTGAATTTTAGTTGGAGGCCTCTTATCTGAAACACTCAGAGGGGGAGCTGCTCTGGGGAGAAGCAGGGGCGAGCCTGCTTCCTGTGCTCTCAGCTTCTCCCTTTTGGGGCACACGGTGGAAGCCCCAGGGCTTCCATGGCCTTTAAAGACCACAGATACGCCCAGCTCCATCACCGCAGAGACGAGGAGACCGGGGCCCAGAGAAAGGAAGAGAGTTACCAAAGTTCAGAGAGTCCGTGTGTGCCTGACCCCACACTTGACCCCGTTTCTTGACATTCTACATGTGTCTGTCTGTCTGTTACACCAGAGGCAGCGAGTAGGTTTTAATTCGGACACTGACTCCTGGCAACCAGAGGCACTGTCGTGTTAGACTCTGAGGCTTGTTTGGTTGGGCTGGGTGGTAGGGGACAGACTGCATTGACTGACAGTGTCTGCCTAGGGCAGAGGCAAGAGTCCTGGGCTTCCTACCACGTCTTTACCACCTGCATCCAGTACGTGCTGCCTGCTTCTTCATCTAGGAAAGCAGGTGCCTGGGGATCTGGAAGGGAAGTTTCTCTACCTTTAAAATTGGGCCTGATCCTGGCATCATATCCAGAGGTTCTCCCCATTAGCTTATCCAGGAAGTCCGAGGGAGACATAGGCTTGGGTGCGGAGCGGGCGGCTTCAGCCTCCTTAGAAGCAGCAAGGCTAAGAAGGGAGAGAGGAGAGCAGAGGGTTAACGAAGGCCCGTTCTCATGCCGTGGTCAGACCCCAGCCTTGCCCAGCCCTGTAGAACCACTAGAGTGTTGTTAGCCTGAAAAATAGGTTATAGGTCCTTAATGAGGTAAGACCTAGCCTAAATTGTTTATCCAGCCCAAATATCAGCCACCGTGGGATCCTGGCAGGCAGCCGAGTGTCTGATGGCCGCTGAGAAGCGGCTGCCTCTCGGAAGGCTGCGTCTCTGGGGATGAGAGCGATCGCTCTTGGCAGCGGGTCTCCCTGGGAGAGGAGATGGAAGGGTTAACCTCCTGCTGGGCCCAGCCCTGGGTTTTGGGTGCCTGTGCTCCCATAGTTCACGGCACAGCTCGCCCAGCCAGAAAGAATCTTAGCGATCAAGCAGTCCAGGCTTTCCCCAAAGTTTCTCTTCAGAATCAGTCACTAGTTTAAAAAAAGTTGCCCAAGTCAAGTGCATTTGGGAGTGCAAATTGAATCAGGCATCTTTACCCGAGGTCTCAGAACCTTTAACAAAGTTTAGACGCTATACTTCTGGGACGACTATCTCATGAACCACACACTTTAGCAAACGCCCAGCTGGGAAAACTGAGGCAGAGCTGGTAGAAGGGAGCGAGCCCCTACTTCCACTGCACTAAGTGGTTTCAGTGTCTGATTCGGACCGTAGCACGAATTCCTGGTGTCTAAGAACAGCGGCCCTTCCCCTGCCGCCCCCAATCAGAGGCGCGCAGGTTTCTAGAAGAGTCAGAACCGGAAGCTGAAGGGTTGAAGAACAATCACGTGTGCAGCTGAGCTTTCCTGGTCCTGAACCGACCCCCAGGAGGTAGCTGGGAGCCAGTGCACCCTGCGGTGCGTGCTGAGGGGCCAGTCAGTGCGCATATGGAGACTGCGCCTGTGTGTTGCCAAGTGGGACGTCGTGTTCCCACGATCGTGTTCCCACGAGGACTTGCTCTCCACCTCGCGCGTTCATCGCCTCGGCTCCTTTTTGATCTCATCAGTTGTAACTGTTTAAGTGGTCACCTCTAATGGACAGCTCTCAAATCTATGTCTCCGCGCTGGCTTCTCGCTGGAGCCCCCTTCCCTCGCCTGCAGACACCCGCAGGGCTTGCGTGCCTCCAATTCCTCTCGCACACGGGGCTTCCCAAACTGGCTTCCCCAGACTCACTGACACCTTCCCTTTCTCTAGGACGGAAGCTTCCGGGCGGCTTGTCTCCGTGGCCCCTCTCCTCCCACGCCCCTCACTCAGCGGGTCCTGGCCATGCCACCTCGCAATCTAGTTACTCGTGCTAGTGTTTCAAGACCAGGAGTCATGGTATTTTTTATTTATTATGTGTGTGTTCTCTTAATCTCCTACTGTGTCTACCATGGTGTTTCAAACATAATTGGTGCTCGGTAATTGCACAGTGAATGAATGAATGAATAATTTGCTACTTTAATCAAATATCCTGGTGAGTAGGGTATTCGTAAATATGCATATATGGATCAACAATTTTAAAATAATTAGACTATTATACCCACTAATGAAAAAAATTCTGAAAGCAACCTGGTATTCCTTTGAAGGTGCAGAAGGCATTCCAGGATTATTTAGACACTCATGCTTAATATTCTGAAGGTCCCTTATGTTTTGATTGACAGGATGAGGGACAAACACATTTTACTGTTTTTATGTGTGTGACTGTGGATGTTTTTGAGTTGGTGTGATGTGGGTAGTTTTACAGGTATGATGTGTATGCACGTACAGGTGGGTGGATGTGTATGGATGTGTGAGGATTAGGGTGTGCATGGGGGTGTTTGTGGATGAATAGTGAGTCCTGTTACATGAATTTGTATGTGCAAAAATGTGAATACCTGGGTTCATGGGAAAGTGCTGTTAAGTGTGACATTTAGTATAGGCATTTTTGTGTGTTTATGTGGGGTGTATGCATACATAGGGTACAGGGTGTAAATGTGTAAGATGCCCTTGTAGATGTATGTATGTGGCATGTATATTGCATGTGTGTGTTTCTGAAACGCATGGTGAGATGTAAAATAGAATAGTGCAAAAACAGTGAAAAGAATGGATGATTAGGAACCAGTGCTGTCTCATACTAGCTGTGTGACCTTGGGGAAGTTACTTAACCTTTCTGAACTTTAGTTGCCTTGTATGTCAAATTAGTTTTATACAAGGAGTAACTGAGATAGCACAGGTAAAAATCACCTAGGACAGTAATTGAAACAGAGCAGACATTCAATATATTGTCTTGCTCTTGCCTTGCTGTGTGTGTGTGTGTGTGTGTGTGTGTGTGTGTTTGAAGTAGTTTAGAACCAATCTGGGGACTTCTTCTGGTCCCACTGTGCTTTCAGCTTCACCATGGACCCCGCATGGCTCGAAAGTCCTGTGAGGTGCCTCCGATAGCCCACAGGTAGTAGTAAGTACCACATTCTCTGCCTTTTCTCCATTCAGCACCAGAGTCATGGCTGCTCCATGGCTCTGGTGTGAGCACAGGGGGCCACAGGCAGGCAACTGGTGATTTACGGCTTTTCTGCCGCTATAATTCACTTCTAGAACCTCTCCAGGAGTGGCAGTTATGAAGCTTTCATAAGCTCCCCTTCCCCGTCCAGCCCCTCCTCTCTGCTAATGAGATTTGAGGACATAGTCCTCCCTCCCAGCAGTTACCAGAGCTCAAGCCCTCTCGTGGCCCTTAGGCCTCTTTCATAAGCCTGAATCCTATTAGGTGGTACAGTGAGAGAATGAATTCGCCCTAAATCATCCTTTACCCTTTGCTATTAGCAAAATGTGCCATTTAATACCTGAATCCTCCCCAGCGCTGGAGAGTCCTCTAGCTATCCAAGCCGCCTGGCCCTGGCCTCACGCAACAGCCCAGCGGGGCGAGCTGAACTGGAGGGGATGGAGACTCTGAGAGGTTGAGTAACTGGCCTCAGGTCACACAGCACTTTCATGAGAGAAGGAATTAGAACACAAATTTTCAAGTGTTAACTCACCCAATGCTATCATGTATGGGCAAGACTTTGGTAAATGGTGACGTGTGTAAATCGTGATAGATGCTATGATTTCTTGTTATAGTGTGAAGCTTGTTATAGTCTGTGTCTGACTTCCAGCAACCCTGATATGCACAACTCCGGATCTATCACACCTAAAAATGGAGAAGAAATCGTGCGAATTCCCGAATGAGCCTCTGCCTTGTCCGGTGATCGGCAGTGGAAGTCTTTGAAATGTTGAGGTTCTCTAGTCCAGACTCTCCCGGGGATCAGGTATTAGTGGTTTCTAAGTTGCCTTGTTTCTTCTAAACGTACCCTTTTAAAAAGGGAACTTTATATTACACTATTTCTAAATGAACTACCGGTATTACTTGCCATGATAGAAACAACTACGATAACGAATACAATGGAAACGAAAGGAAAAGAGGAGATTAAAATTCTAGGTAAATCCTGCTCGTGGCCAACAGGACTGCCTTTAGTTCCAGAGGAAGGCCACTGAGTGTTGGAGAGGTGGTAGAGATGCATTAACACCCAACTGAGACTTTCTCCTTGAGATAAGGAGAAGGAAAGAGAATTGGTCCAATAATAATTCACTGCTGCTGTGTGTGAACCACCTCAAATCATCCCCATCTCTTACTGCTCTGGTCCAGAGTTTCCCTAATTCGTTGTGAATTACAAAGACTCCATTTTAATGTCAAAATAGCCATGCCCTTCCACTTGACAATAGTTGTACCTTTCTGTCTACATTTAGGTATTTTGCACAGAATTAGTTCAAGGTCCCCCCTGCAGTAAATCTGTGCTCTGCGCACCTGTGCAGAGTAAACAGGCATAAGTGGGCCCTTGCTGCCCAGGGAGAACCACTACCTCTGCGAACGTGAACGTCTGCTCATCGGCGCTACTGGGCAGAGCAACTGGGAACGGAGCTGAGACAGGAAACATGTGATTGTTAGGATTTACTGACCCTCCACAGGTATTTGGAAATGATGCAAATTGCTTCAGGGATTACTGCAATTCAATGTAGTAAATCAGACTTGGTTTAGATGGATTTGATTAATAGTAATTTCCAGGAAGACAGTGAGGGCTCCTGGGACCAAGTGTTCTGGTCCTCGCAGAGAAGGCTTATGACGGTGGCTGACCAGACGGAGTGTTAAACTGTCTATCACCTTTTCGTTAGGGCACGTGTCACACTAGGAGACTTAGCTACTTAAAGGGCCTCAGCTTTGCTTTGACTCCTCATGACAGAGACCTTGGAAAGGTCCAGGGTGGGGCTCCTGGGAGGGCTGGGGGCGTTCAGGCAGGGTGACGCAGGGAAGTGGGTACTGTGTGACCTTCCACAAGTCGCTCCCCTTTCTGCTTTCAATTTCCCAAGCTATAAAATGAAGGGATTAGAATAATCTCTAAGAGTCCTTCTGGCCCTAAATCAACACTTTATTAGTCTATAAATTCTTTTTTTTTTTTTTTTATACATCTGGTCTCGGGGTTTGAATTTCTCTGGACTCCTCTGGGGGATGCGAGTGTGATCCCGCCTTGGCTCCTCCCACCCAGTGTCAAGATTTCTCCCCAGTGGAAGGACTCGTTTTTCAGGGATTTGTTGGAAGAAAGGCCAGATCAATGCTCCGATCCTCGTTCTCCAGTTGTAACATCAGTTGGAAATAGGGAATCAATATGGAGCTGTCAATCTGAATTTCAAATGAGCTGGGGTGGCAGTGGATGGTACTGGGGAGAAACAGTTTCCATCACGCCCTGCATGGCACCACACCCCCAAGAACCATTCCGGGCTTGCAGAGGGCTCCGGTCATCAGATTCCGTCCCCTCAGTTCACCATGACAAAGAAGTCAGGAGGTCAGGGGTGGGAAAAGGGGAGGGAAGGCAAGGTGAGGGGAGGAGGTAGAGTAAGAGGCTGAGGATAACCAAGAAGGGACAGGTAGGGCTGGGGAGGAAGCTGCAGGTGCAGACAGAAGGGAAGGGAGATAGGGGTTGGGGAGAGGACGAAGTAC